GGATATGAGCATGGATAGCGTATATACGGAAGCGTTAATAATTAATTCTCGAAAATGATATATCGTATTGTAACTTTATTACACATGGTTGAATTCGTAAAAAAATAATCTTTAATTTGGTAAATAAAAAATTTAAAAATTAAAGAAAATTACGGGTGGTGGGGGTATTTTGTTAAACAAAAAAATAAAAAAAAATTTTTTTTCTTTATAACTTTAAAGTATTCTTGAAATCGTACAATTTTTATTTAACAAATTTTTTTCTATCTTTTGTACTTCCAACGATATTCGTCTCGAAAGAAAAATTCCATTTTTTTTCAAAAGGGTGTTTTACAATATATTTCATGGAGAATCAAATCGGTTCCGGACAGTTGTGAAACTTCCCTTGTTAGAACGACCTCAAATGAGGGACAGTTTGAAATTCATGTGTTATGCTCCAAATGTCGAGTGGCGCTGCTGAAAGCCCTATCAATTCCTCGATTAGAGCTTTGCGGTGCATTATTGCTAGCTCAATTAATAGAAAAGATTTTGAAGTCTTTGCCATTCACACAAGATTCCATTCACTTGTGGACTGATTTACAGATCGTATTATGTTGGTTACGGGCCTGTAGTCGTCAATGGGCACCATTCCTCGCAAATCGTATTGCAGAAATCCAACGGATCACAAATATAGATAACTGGAGGCACGTACCAGGACAGGAAAACCCTGCCGATTCGCTCTCTAGAGGCATCATGCCTGATTTGCTACACAAGTTGGAGATTTGGTGGGCTGGACCATCTTGGTTGTCATCAGATGAGCATGGATGGATTTCTGGAGATTTCTCCTTTTCGAATGTAGAAGTGCCTGAACGAAAGATTATGATGTTAGTAGCTGAAGTGAAGGACAAACAACAATATGACATATTTGAGCGATTTTCCAAGTTGCATCGATTGGTCCGCGTGACTGCATTTTGTCTTAGATTCGTACAAAATTGTAAAATTAAGAAAACAAGTGGATCGCGTTTAAACAATGTTGGATCAATACAGCCATTATCATTCGACGAATTGGAGGATGCAACGATAGTTCTTGTAAAAATGGTACAGCGCGACGCCTTTCAGGCAGAAATAAGCTCTATTAAGAAAATTAAACATGTAAATAAGTATAGCAGTCTTTTAAAACTAAACCCGTTTGTTGATGAACATGCTGTGTTGAGAGTTGGCGGTCGATTGCGTCATGCCAATATACCTTTTAGTTCCAAGCATCCAATTTTATTACCGGGCAAACACCCTTTCACAAAACTAATTGTTATCAGCGAGCATGAGCGTCACCTTCACGTTGGGGCACAGATCACGCTAGCGGCTATTCGTTAATCCTATTGGCCAACGTCAGCTCGTAATGTAGTTCGTAGCGTAATAGAAAAATGCGTGGTATGCATTCGTAACGCTCCTAGGCTAAGTAGCGCGATTATGGCTGATTTACCTGAAGCACGGGTGAATACTGTAAAGTATGTATTTAAAAAATGCGGCGTGGATTACGCGAGACCTTTTTATTACAAGGAAGGTCAAAGAAAAACTGCTAAGTCAGTAAAATGTTACATGGCGTTATTTGTGTGCTTATCCACTAGAGCGGTGCATATAGAGTTAGCGGCCGATCTCTCGGCGGAAACCCATTTAAATGTACTTAAGCGATTCATTTCTAGGAGAGGTCGTCCTATCGAATTGTATTCTGACAATGGCCTAAATTTTGTTGGAGCAAATCACGAACTCAACGAATTGTACAAGTTATTTAAGGACGAATCTATTAAGCAAAAAATCAACGATTTCATGGCAACTGAAAGGGTGAAATGGCATTTTATTCCTCCTAGAGTTCCGCATATGGGTGGCATTTGGGAGGCAGCAATCAAAAGTGCTAAGTTTCATTTGAAACGCGTAACTAAAGAAGCATCGTTAAGGTACGATGAATTGTTTACCCTGATGGTACAAGTTGAAGCCATATTAAACTCCAGACCTCTCGCTCCTGTATCCAACGATCCCAGCGATTTAAATGCACTCACTCCGGGACATTTTATGATTGGCTGTCCTATCACTCATTCCCGGAGCCCAGTATGGAATGTCTTCCAGCAAACAGACTATCACGTTGGCAACGATTCGAACAATTGGAACAACATCCGTGGCGTCGTTGGATGAAGGAGTATTTGCATAGTTGTCAGTCCCGGGTTAAGTGGAAAACATCTGAAAGCCCGGTGAAAATCGGACAGATGGTGATATTGAAGAAAGAAAACTTGCCACCCATGTGTTGGGCTCTAGCGCGAGTAGAGGAGGTATTTCCAGGTCCCGATGGAATTGTTCGAGTCGTTTCTGTTCGAACTACTAAAGGAATATACAAACGACCCATTACAAAGTTGTGTATTCTATCCTTTGAGTAGCGATCATAAGATGTGTTAATTGTATTCTGTTTCACTCACATTTTCTTTTATTTATATTCAACGCTACTCTTGCAAATTATGAATCTTTTAGTTGTTGAAAGCCGATGCTTTCAAGGGAGGCGATATGTTAGATATTATTTGAATTAGCCCGCGCGCTCTATTTGGTTATAAGTCCCTAGATGCTGTGGCGACTTTTAGTCCGTTCACGTTGGCGCGCCATGTGTCTCCCCCTTGAACGCGCAATAGCGACTACGCATTAGAATTCCTTTTGTTCTCACGCGAGAGACTGTTGTTGCGGCAATAAATAAGTTTTATATCAGTTTTTTTCAGTTGTTTTTATTGCGAAGTAACCTCGCGCGCACACACACACACACACAGGTGCATTCAACAAGCATATTCACAGTATAGGTATAAATAGCGTACTCATACGCACGCGACGCAAGTCGCCGAGGAACATTTCCTTAACACTTCCAATTCTGTTAAATGTCGTCGCGGCATTGTGAACGTAAAAATCTTAAAAATATCAAAAGTATCAAAGAGGTAATAAATTGGAAATATTGTCAAATAAGAGAAAAAGTGCGATGAAAAAAGCATGAATATTACTTCTCCATACCAATTTCTCTATACATACGCTCTAAAACCGATCGAAAATAGCAGTCGACAATGTACAATGTATGTACGTATGTACGCATACAACGTGAGGCTTCGATAAAGTTTGGTAGGGGAGCGCGTCGCCGGCCGGCCCGGCTGTTAGCGGGCCCGACGTTCAGCCGCCTTTTTATTGAATTTGCCTTTTTATTGAACGTTGTACGATTTTTTTTCGACGAGTTATTCGACATTGAATAAAAAGGGTCATTTTTGCTTCAATGTCGAATAACTCGTCGAAAAAAATTGTACAACGTTCCATAAAAAAGCAAATTGAAGGTAAAAATTCACTCTTTCGACTGTTTAGAACCTCATTTGTGTGCGATTTTTAGTTCATGCCATAGACTTTTGTAAAATTTGTACAAAATTTTCAGATTTGGCGGATACCCATTTCTGTTCGTATAACTACGTAAAAAATCAATCAGATCGAAATATCAATTACCGATTTCGAAAGTAGTGATTTCAAGCTTTAAAATGCTTTTTTAAAAATCTCGTTATGATCATTTTTTACGAAGTTACACTCTTCTGAATTTTTACCTATTTTTGAGGTGGAC